GCACTTGCGCGTGAACAATGTCATGCTCGCAACGCTGGAAGGTTGCGTGTGTAAAGTATCCGTAGAGAGCTCATTTCGAGTGTTCCACGCTGTGGCTATCAATTCACGCGCAAGTGTTGTCAGCAACGCAAGATAATTTTGAAGGCATTTCTATAGCTCGTCATGGTTTAACCGTCTTTAGATTACCATAGGAGAAAATTCTTCCAATTCCCTCATTACGACCTAGTAAATATGATCGAAGCACTTTATATGTCTAATAAATTTGTTTTTGCGCGTTTCTTTTTCTTTGAAATCTGCTTCGAAACGGCGCTAATGCCTACGAGTCGTGGCATACATCATCCTATTGCTTCATAGGCTTTGGCCGTCCTCGCGGGATATGTGAATATAATGTCATAGCTGAACGAAATGGACTAATTAAACTATTATGTTTTGCTGTTTTCTGCTTTGAAAATTTGCAAACCTTACTAGCTTTTTATGCTAAGATTTTCAGATCGCTTCAAAAGGTGACTTTCCATGGAAACAACTTTCAAGATCTGCCATCTACATCGCTATTCGGCTCTGTAAGCCATAGCAGATTACACACGCTGAATATTTCAGCCAATTATATAGGTTCGTCTGGTATACTCATATTTTGTTCACATATGAGCGCAGCTGTGATAAAAATGATGCTGTGTCATTCACCACACTAAAAGAATTGTGATCTCATTAGGACGAGGTTTTGCTTTATCATGAAAACTTTTGATTGGCAAAATCAATCCATAAATTGCTGGAAATAAGTAAAGTCGATAACTTGAATTTGAAATTTACAAAGGTGACGAAATTCGTGCAGATTCCTATAGGAGCATAATTTATTCATAAGTTCGAGCCAAAAGTTTGAGTCGTGTTTGAAAATGCTGCAAAAAGCAAATGCATGAATAATGCATGTAACTTGATTTTCGAGGCTATACCTATTCGGTGAGACACGTTTTTGCTCTATGTGCATGTCTTCAAGTAATCTAATATATAAAGAATGACAAGCGCAATTCAAAA